ATACTGGTACTTAAAAGCCTGCGATTAATGATCTGAATGACTCTTTTCTTTTTCCACGTCTTGCTAGAATTACAAAAACCTCATATTTTTTTCTCAACATTCCTTTTTTTCTGGTTTCATTCTGTCGGTGTCAAACACACAAGTGCAATTTTCTTAATATTATATTCCTACTACTGGTAAATACTGACCCTCATAGATATTCCTAGAAGAACATTCAGGACAACGAAGAAATACAATCTTTTTTTGAGTGTTTATGAAGCAAAGTTAGCAAAAGTTTAGACTTGTTGACCTTTATATTAGAGAGGTCTTGTTTACATTTTCTTACATTTTCTTACATCTTTTTATTTTTTTGGGGCACCATTATTTTTTTACTTGTGGTTTATTGTAACTTTCTAAGGGTTGCATTCCAATATATTCATTGATTATTATACACGTTAAAGATTGAGAAGGAGTTGTTAAAGGACAACTTTAGTGCCACGAAAACATACTCATTTTCCTGGCACTATAGTGCCCTGAGGGTGCCCCCACCCTCAGGGTCCCCCTCCCGCCGGGCTCTGGGGGGAGGAAGGGGTTAAACTTACCTCTTTCTCTAGCGCCGGGCGGGGAGCTCTCCACCTCCTCTCCGGCTGAATGCGCATGCGCGGCAGGAGCTGCGCGCGCATTCAGCCAGTCTCATAGGAAAACATTCACAATGCTTTCCTATGGACGCTGGTGTCTTCTCACTGTGAAAATCACAGTGAGAAGCACGCAAGCGCCTCTAGCGGCTGTCAAGAGACAGCCACTGGAGGCTTGATTAACCCATTCTCTGAAACTGCTATGTTTATAGAAAAAAGGGTTAAACCTAGCTGGACCAGGCACCCAGACCACTTCATTAAGCTGAAGTGGTCTGGGTGCCTATAGTGGTCCTTTAACAATGTCAAAGTTAAAATAACAGCACTGTTATGAAATTTGTTGGCAATACTTTTACCACTGTCAGTTCACTGAATACCTTACGGAGGTAATATCTAAGAAATTAATAAGGAGTTCTCCAGAACACACAATTATTGAGATGTAATAAAGTAAACATTTATTAAGATGCTATAACTCAACTCTGGGAGTGGGTGTAGGTAGGTGAACAGAAAGAGACATCAGAGAGTTTTCTTACCAAACAGTAAGTGGCGGAAATCGTTTTAATATATTTGTTGTAGATATTACATAGTTACATAGGCTGAAAAGAAACATGTATCCATCAAGTTCAGCCTTCCTCACATTTGTTTTTTGCTGTTGATCCAAAAGAAGGCAAAAAAAAAAAAACTAGTTTGAAGCACCAATTATGTAACAAACTAGGAAAAAAATCCCTTTTGACCTCAGAATAGCAGGTCAGATTTACCCTTGGATCAAGAAGCTATTACTGTACAGTTGAAAAATTATATAATTAAATATTATGTTTTTGCAAGTATGCATCTAGTTGCTGTTTAAACATCTGTACAAACTCTGATAAAACCACCTCTTCAGGTAGAGAATTCCACATTCTTATTGTGCTTATGGTACAAAAAAAAATTCTTTGGCGTAGACTAAATCTTCTTCTACCAGTCTAAACGCATGACCTTGTGTCCTATGTATAGTCCTGTTTGTAAATAGATTTCCACACAATGGTTTGTATGGGAACTGGATATAAATTGCCTGGCCAAAAAAAAGTTGCTACCAAAAAAACAAGGTCACACATTCTAATATTTTGTTGTACTGCCTCTAGCTTCGATTACGGCACACATTCACTGTGTCATTGTTTTGATAAGCTTCTGCAATGTCACAAGATTTATTTCCATCCAGTGTTGCATTAATTTTTCACCAAGATCTTGAATTGATGATTGGAGAGTCAGACCACTGCACAAAGCCTTCTCCAGCATATCCCAAAGATTCTCAATGGGGTTAAGTTCTGGACTCTGTGGTGTCTAATCCATGTATGAAAATGATGTCTCATGCTTCCTGAACCACTCTTTCACAATTTGAGCCGATATATTTTGACATTGTCATCTTGGAATATGCCTGTGCCATCCTGGAAGAAAAAAATCCATTGATGGAATAACCTGGTCATTTAGTATATTCAGGTAGTCAGCTGACCTCATTCTTTGGGCACCTAATGTTGCTGAATCTAGACCTGAACAACTGCAGCAACCCCAGATCACAGCACAGGCTTGTACAGTAGGCACTAGGCATGATGGGTGCATCACTTCATCTGCCTCTTTTCTTACCCTAATTCCCCCATCACTCTGGAACAGGATAAATCCCCACTATCCTTCCAGTTTTTAATAATGCGTTGGACAGTTCTTAACCCAATTTTAGTAGTTTCTGCAATCTCCTTAGGTGTTTTTTCTGCTTGATGCATGCCAATGACCCTTCTCAAACAGACCACAGGATGTGTCTTTCGACATAGTTGTTTAAGAAATCAGAAGCTACTCATCGGTTGGGGTTAAATAACTTGTTACAGGCTGAAAGGTAATCGTTTACGCAGTGTATTTGTATAATATATCCCTTCAGAGGTGAAATTTTTCTAAACTAAAGAGGTTTAAATTTGTTAACCTTTTTTCATAGCTTAAATGTTTCATTCCTTTTATTAATTTTGTAGCCTGCCTCTGCACTTTTTCTAGTGCCATAATATCCTTCTTTAGAACAGGTGCCCAAAATTGCACAGCATATTCAAGATGTAGTTTTGCTAGCGATTTAAAAAGAGGCAAAATTATATTTTATTCCGAGAATTAATGCCCTTTTCAATGCATGACAATACCTTACTGGCCTTAGCCACTGCTGATTGACATTGCACATTGTTGCATAGTTTGTTGTCTGTAACAATTCCCAAATCCTTCACGTGTGTTATCTCTAATTCGCTTCCATTAAGGGCATAAGTTGCTTGCGCATTCTTAATGCCGAAGTGCAGAACTTTAAATTTTTCTACATTAAATTTCATCTGCCATTTGAGTGTCCAGTCCCCCATCTATCTAAATCTCTCTGCAGCAAAGTAATGTCTTGCTCACATTGTATTATTTTACAGAGTTTTGTGTCATCTGCAAACACTGAAACATGACTTTCAATGCTTTTTTTCGAGATCATTTATAAACATGTTAAATAGAAGGGGTCCCAGAACAGAACCCTGAGGGACACCACTTGCCACCTTTGTCCATCTTGAACATTTACCATTTATGGCAACCCTCTGCACTCTATTTTTTTGGACCATGTTCTACCCAAGAACAACAATTTCCATCTAGACAAATTTTGTGGAGTTTGAACACTAATCTATTGTGTGGAACTGTATTAAATGCCAAGTCAGTGGCCTATGCTTCGTAAAACCACGCTAATTTTTGCTTATAACCAAGTTCTTCTCATAGAATTCTTGACAAATATCTCTTTAATAACCTTTTAAATACTTTCCCAGCCACAGAAGTTAAGCTCACAGGGTTATAATTTCCAGGCAAGGATTTTGAACCCTTTTTGAATATAGGAACCACATCTGCCTTTCTCCAATCCTCCGGTACGCTTCCTGAAAGAAAATAATCTTGAAAGATTAAAACCAGATTTTCACTTATTTCCACACTTAGTGCCTTAAGTACTCATGGTTGAATACCATAAGGCCCTGGAGCTTTGTTTAGATTAACTTTCTTTAGTTGCTGCAGCACCTTGTCTTGAGTCATCCAATTACAATTTTTCTGCAAGTTTTTTGCAGCAATTATTTGCATATCTATTGCCATAGGTTCTTCCTTAATATATATGGAGGAGAAAAAGTTATTTAAAATGTCTGCCTTTTTTCTGGTCTTCATTAACGAACACCCCCATCCTGGTTCTTGGTGTACCCACACTATTATTTTTTTAGCACTTATGTACTTAAAAAACTGCTTTAGTTTTGCCCTCTTTGACTATCACTTTTTTATTTTGAAGTTTAGCGAATCTAATCGCCTTTTTGCACGCTTTATTGACATATCTTTTTTAGGATGCCTCTGATGTGTCCAATTTAAAGGCTTTGAATGCCCTTTTCTTATTTTTAATTTCTTAATTTGATTATTTAAGACTATGCTTGGTGTAGTCATAACTGGGTATTGTAGTGTCTCAACATCCACAAATCATGTATAGTGTAAGAAAGGTTTATCTCAAAGGATCAGTTTTTGGTGTATAGATCATATCCCTGTAATCTTACTGCTCAATTCTCTGTCATTTAGGAGTTAAATAATTTTGCTTATGCAGCCTAGTCACACATTCCTGCATGTGTCTTACACAGTCTTGCTTAACATTTACTGTAAAGTGAGATCTAATGTTTATACTCCTTTTATTGCATAGTCTGTTTGGTTTAGAATTTCTTATCTCCTGCACTGTAAATAGCTTGATAGGCCATGCAGGAGCCTCCTGTATGTCATTAAAGTTCAAATACCAGAGCAGGAGATAAAAACTTTTAAAGTAAGTTACATCTGATTGAATATGAAATCCTTTTGTTTTCATGCAGGCTGTCTTACAGTCAGGGAAGGTGTGGCTAGGGCTGCATAAACAGAAACTAAATTGATTAATGCCTAAATGGAAAAAGATTGAGCAGTTAGACTACAGGGGCATGATCTACTCACCAAAACTGCTTCATTAAGCTTGTTTCGGTGACTATAGTGTCCCATTAAGGTATATGTATGGTATAGCAATTCACAGGTGGAACCATATTATTATTATTATTACCATTTATATAGTGCCAACAGATTCCGTAGCACTTTACAAAATTATGAGGGGGATATAACTATAAATAGGACAATTACAAATAAACTTACAGGAACAATAGGTTGAAGAGGACCCTGCTCAATCGAGCTTACATTCTATAGGAGGTGGGGTGTAAAACACATTAGGACAGGAATTTTCAGTCAAATAAGGTGGGCTGCCCTTTAGGAGAGAGCAAGAGACAGGTATGTGAGGTAGAGGTTACTCTGGGAGGCCATAAGCTTTCCTAAAAAGATGGGTTTTAAGGCACTTCATAAAAGATGCAAGGCTAGGTAGGCGGTAGGCAGGCTATTCCATAGGAAGGGAGCCGCCCGCTAGAAGTCCTGCAAGCGTGAGTTGGCCGTACGGGTGCGGACAATGGACAGGAGGTGGTCACGGGCAGAGCGGAGAGACTGAGAAGGGACATACCTATGGATCTGTGAGGAGATATAAGAGGGACTAGAGTTGTTCAGAGCTTTATAGGTGTGAGTTAGTACCTTGAATTGACTCCTATAGCATACAGGAAGCCAATGTAAGGACTCGCAGAGGTGTGAGGTGTGAGAGAAACGACTAGAGAGGAAAATCAGTCTGGCAGCAGCGTTCATTACGGACAGTAGGGGTGCAGTATGGCTTTTGGGAAGACCGATCAGGAGAGGGTTACAATAATCCATGCTGGAAATTACTAGAGCATGGACTACTCCTTGGTACTATCTGGTGCAAGAAAGGGGCGGATGCGGGCTATGTTTTTAAGATGGAATCTACAGGATTTGGCAACATGCTGGATGTGAGGCTCAAAGGTGAGGCCAGAATCAAGTATGACCCCAAGACAGCGCGCTTGCAAGGATGGGCTGATGTGAGAACAACAAACTTGAAGGGAGAGCGAAAGAGGAGGATCAGTATTAGGAAAGACAAGGAGCTCAGTTTTAGAGAGATTGAGTTTCAGAAAGCAGGAGGACATCCAGTCAGCGATGGAAGAAAGGCAAGCAGTGACATGTTGCAGGGGAGAGGTCCACTGTGATAGCCAGAGGGAGTTAGTAATTGAAAGTAGTTTAGAGATGATACTTCTGCTAAGATTTAATCTAAAGATAAGCTCAGCTCACAATCCAAAGGTCGACGTTTCAGTTCTCACATTAGAACTTTCATCAGAGCATCATAACATAACTGTACAAACACTGATTTTATATAATAAAGACTAACCTACCTTATTCCCATCACCTGTGTGTAAGCATCCCCACTTCCTCCGTACGCATGCATTACACTAAGTCCCACCCCTTTGTGATGTAAGGACTTACGGGGTTCATGAGGGGAGATCTATTTAGACAGAGTTATCATCGTTATCCAGATAAATAACAATCACATCTATATTGTGTTTCTAAAGACAGCATCTATTAATTTAGTGAATGAAAGTGAAAAATGGTTCATAGTGAATAATAATACTGCCGTGAGATTAATGTTACAAATAAACATATCTAGAAGGGTGCTGATGAGCACTATGATCTACTAGAAGTAAATTGCTTATGCAGTGTATGTTAAGGCCCAGAGCTGTATATCTTTAAAGTGCCAAGTAATGGAAAAAGTGACAAAGTGTCCAATCATAAAGTGAATAGTGATCTACTAGAGCTAAAGTGATTATGCAGTATATATAAAGGTACAAAGATGTATATCTTTAAAGTGCCAACTAATGGGAAAAGTGACGAAGTGTCCAATCATAATCGTGCAAATGAAAAAACTGCAAATATTCTTTTGAATCTGTGAGTAAAGTGCAGCATAATCACATAATTAAGTGTAAATATATACAATGTCTACCATAAAAAAAAATTGTTTCAAAAGATATCGATGTGTCTGTCTCTTATTCTTTTAACTGGGAGGTCAGGGGAATAGATATATTGGATAAAATCAAAAAAGAGAGTAAGCGCTAAATAACAATAAGGCTGCAACCTTTAAAGGGGATCCCTAAAAAAACCCTTCAAATACAATAAGAATAAAAAACAGAAACAAAGATAAAGGTTGCGCCAAAATAGACAAGTAAAAATCTAAATATATATATAAAAGTCTTATAGACTATTTGTTCTTAAGAAGATCCTCTCAGCTAAGACTTTTTTATATATATATATATATATATATATATATATATATATATATATATTTATATTTTTACTTGTCTATTTTGGCGCAACCTATCTTTGTTTCTGTTTTTTATTCGAATAGATATATTGCTCTGTAGAGGAATATATTACAATTATACATTGTAACAAAAGTACAATGTATCTAATCATCAAAATAAAATCTAACATTGTTAAAAAATACTCATGTCAGCAAATACTAAACCTAGTGCACTTCTAGATCAGGGATCTGAAATTACAGATCAGGTATTTAATCAAGTATTGGATTAAATATCTCTTTTATGAGAAATCTGTATATATGGGGCTATTTGGTAATATAATATAGAATGAGAATTAAAATAACACATACAATATGAAACAACTTTTTATGAAATCTTTATCAGAAATCCAGGGTGGCCTAAGAATCATTTTTTTTCATTTAGCCCTGATGGAGTAATTCTCATATCCAAAATGTCTCTCTCTGAAGTTACAGATTGGCTTGATTTCCAGCCCTTTATGAAATGGGAATATGATCTATCGCGATGCATTTAAGGGAAGCCAAAGGATGTTTATGCTCTAAAAAAATGTTGAGCCACAGATTTATCTGTGTGTCCATCTCAGATGCATCAAATGCATCTATTGCAGCAGGGCCGAACTGTCCCACCGAGATACCGGGAAATTTCCCGGTGGGCCGGGGCCCTTGAGGCTGCACAGTGCAGCAGTCTCTTCTCCCCTCACCAAGTACACACTCACATTGGGGACCTGAGGAGTGAAGGTTCTCTGTCAGCTCTAGGCTGACATTTTACTTTATCCATTCGCAAGTGAAACATAATGAGCAGCTGGCAGGAGACTGGAGAAAGTGCAGGGTGGGTGGCAGTCCTGGTCCCTGCCTGACAGCAGTGGCGTACATACCAGGGTCGCAGGGGTCGCGGCTGCGACCGGGCCCGGCCCACCAGGGGGCCCGGCCGCCCCTGCGACCCGGTATGTAGCCACAGGGCCAGCCTCTTCTCCTGGGGGGCCCAGGAGCCGACCACCCCAGGGCCCCCCGAGGCTGGCCCTGCTGACCCCGGCGGGCGAGTGGCCGGTCGGGCAGGCGGGCGCGCGAGGGAGCACTTTCCCCTGTGTGCTCCCTCTTCAGCTCCCTCGCGCACCGCACTGATACCGGCGCCGGAAGATGATGTCATCTTCCGGCGCCGGCATCCCTAATCGGCGCGCAAGGGAGCTGAAGAGGGAGCACACAGGGGAAAGTGCTCCCTCGCGCGCCGGCCCGCCAGGCAGCCCGCCCACCCAGTGACCTGCCGCCCAGCAGCACCACTGGACCCCAGGGAATCCCCCCAGCACTCCAAAAGGTAACGAGGCTGGGGGATTAAATTTGAGAAAAAAAAGTGTATGTGTGTGTTAGTGTATGTGTGTGTTAGTGTATGTATGTGTGTGTGTGTTAGTGTTAGTGTATGTTAGTGTGTGTTAGTGTATGTGTGTTAGTGTATGTGTGTATTAGTGTGTGTTAGTGTGTGTTAGTGTATGCTAGTGTTAGTGTGTGTTAGTGTATGTGTGTGTTAGTGGATGTGTGTGTTAGTGTGTGTGTGTGTTAGTGTGTGTTAGTGTATGTTAGTGTGTGTGTGTGTTAGTGTATGTGTGTGTTAGTGTGTGTATGTGTGTGTTAGTGTATGTGTGTGTTAGTGTGTGTTAGTGTATGTGTGTTACTGTGTGTTAGTGTGTGTGTGTGTTAGTGTGTGTTAGTGTATGTGTGTGTTAGTGTATGTGTGTGTTACTGTGTGTTAGTGTATGTGTGTGTTAGTGTATGTGTGTTAGTGTGTGTTTGTGTTGGGTGTTGGTGTGTGTGTGTGTGTGTGTGTTAGTATGTGTGTGTGTGTTAGTGTGTGTGTGTGTGTGTTAGAGTATGTGTGTGTTAGTGTATGTGTGTTACTGTGTGTGTTAGTGTATGTGTGTGTGTGTGTTAGTGTGTCAGTGTTTGTGTTAGTGCGTGTGTTAGTGTGTGTGTCAGTGAATGTGTCTGTTATTGTGTGTGTGTCTGCTAGTGAGTGTGTTACTGTGTGTGTCTGTTACTGAGTGTGTTTGATGTCTGTTAGTGAGTGTGTGTTTGTCAGTGAAAGTGTATGTTTTGTAAGTGAGTGTGTATGTATGTCTGTCGCTGAGTGTGTCTCTGTCAGTAAATGTGTGTGTCTGTTAGCTAATGTGTATGCGTCTGTTCGTGAGAGTGTGTGTGTGTCTCTTCAGCATTTACCTTTCTCCAGCGTCGGTCTCCCCAGTGTCCGCCTCTCAGCTCCGAATGCAAATGCGCGGCAAGAGGCGCGCGCGCATTTAAACCGCCCATAGGAAAGCATTACTCAATGCTTTCCCATGGACGTTCAGTGTCTTCTCACTGTGATTTTCACAGTGAGAATCGCGGAAGCTCCTCTAGCAGCTGTCAATGAGACAGCCACCAGAGGCTGGATTAACCCTCAGTGAAACATGTTTTCAGCTGCAGGGTTAAAACTAGAGGGACCTGGCACACAGACCACTTCATTGAGCTGATGTGATCTGGGTGTCTGTAGCGGTCCTTTAAGTGTGTGTGCATACCGCGGTCGCGGGGTCGCAGCCCTGTGACCAGGTGCCCGCCATCATGTGTTGCGACCCCGACCCGCGCCGAGTAAGCGCGCGGGGGGGGCCCACGGATCAATTTTTGCACCGGGGCCCCATGGGTCATGTGTACACCACTGTTGGGAGGGGAGGGGGGAGAAGAAATTGGCAGGGTAGGGGGAGAAGAAATTGGGAGGGGAGGGGTAAGAAGAAATTGTGAGGGAGGGGGGGGAGAAGAAATTGGGAGGGGAGGAGGGAGAAGAAATTGGCAGGGGAGGTGGAGAAGAAATTGGGAGGGGAGGGGGCGAAGAAATTGGTAGGGGAAGGGGGAGAAGAAATGGGGAGGGTGGGAGAAAAAGAAATTGGTAGGGGAGGGGGGAGAAGAAGAAATTGATAGGGGGGAGAAGAAATTGGTGGGGGGGAGAAGAAATTGACGGGTGGTGAGAGTGACAGGGGAGGGAGGGGCAATGAGAGTGGGAAGGGGGTGGGGAGAAGAGAGTGACAAGGGAGAGGGGGGAGAAGAGAGTGACAAGGGAGGGGGAAGAGAGTGACATCCATCACACACACATGCAATGCACCCCTTGCACACAGAAAAACACACAATGCATTACACACACAGACACACACACACACACACAAACAATGCAACCCTTACACACAATGCATCCCTTACACACACAGAAACACACAATGCATTCCTTACACACGCACACACTGCATCCTGTACATACACAGAAACACACCTTGCAGCCCTTACACATACAAACACAGATTCACACAATGCATCCCTTACACACATATCAGGACATCCCCTACACACTC